CACACACACGATCCCCCCCACACACACACTCTCTCTCTCTCTCTCTCTCTCTCTCTCTCTATATATATATATATATATATATATATATGGAACAAAACCAAAAAAAATAAGTTAGAGCAATGAGATTTTACAAAATTGTAGGATACAGAATCAAAATCAACACACAGGTATCAATTAAACTTCTAAATACTAATAGTGAGCAATTTTAAAGCAAGATAAGAAAAAATCCACATCAACATCTTAGGGATAAGCTCAACAAAGGTCTCATGAAATCAACAAAACCATGATGAAAAAAAAAGGAAACATGAATACACAGAACAATATGTCTCACAAGTGAGTTGAAAGACAGTTATTTTAAGATGATCCAAGAGTCAATGCCATCCTTTTTAAGAACCCAGTGACTTTTCGTTTTTGAAAAAAAAAAAAAAAGAAAAAAGAAAAACTCCACCAAAATATTCAAATGAGATCTCAGAGACCTGAACAGCCAAACATTCCTGGAAAAGAAGATTAAATTTAGAGGATTCACAATTCCTGATTTCAAATATTACTTCATTGCATTTTATGTAGCATGGAGGGTATGAATGGACAACGACATATATGTGGAGGTCAGAGGACAACTTTGTGGTGGTTATTCTCTTCCCCATGTGGGTCTTAAAGATTGGGCTTAGGTGATCAGGCTTGGCAGCACCTCTACCTGCTGAATAATCTTGCTGGTCTCAAGTACTACTTCAAATCATGGTTATCAACTCCTTGAGATTATAACATAAATACAGCAATATGAACCAATGGCAAACACCTTTACCCACTGAGCCATCTTGCTAGACAGGACATACATGGGTTCCCCATTGTATATATTTTCTTCTTGACTCTTTGTCCTCCTAGTTAGCTCATGTAATCTCTCTATAAACAGTTTGCTTTGACTACTGATTTGGTTCCTGTCACATAATCTTTTGCTAAAACTTCATAAATGAATAAATTATACTAATGAATCAATGTGTCAATAAGCGATCAGAAAGCAGTGAACTTTGACTGTTTTGTTAAATTTATACAATATGTTAAGAGATGTTGAATTGCGGGCAACACAAAAACATTCTATAAATAGACATGAGAGACATCCTCCAAGATTTTAGAAATAGGAAGAACTTGCACCACAGGTCTGACCCTTATATGTGGCTCTAATTGTCCACATTTTAGCAGTGGCTTTTTGCCTCACCACTCCCTGATGTCCGTCATCAAGTAGAGTCACTACAGAAAGTTAAATGGCTCTTCTTCAAGTATCTAAAAGGGTGGATCACATTGTGATCCACCTCTTCCATTCCTGACCATACAGACAACAGAAATGAAGTCAGCATTCAAAACCCTTGTTATCAGTGAACGTTTACGACTGTACACTTACAGTTGCCTGTATGGATTCAGTCTAGGTGTTCAACAGAAGGATGGGTAAAGAATTTATGAATATATATTGCATATGATATATAGCTGTGTATAACACAAAATGGAATATTATTCAGTCATAAAGAAAAATGAAATAAGTGAAAACCTGTCTTCTGCAGGAAAATGGATGAACCTGAGGATATTAGGTTAAGTGAAATAAGCCAGGCACAGAGAAATCAATTTAACATGTTCTCTCATACATGTAGAAACCTGAAGCATACTCATGTTTGGAAAAGGTTCTTAGGAAAAGATAAGGGTAGCAGTGTAGGAAAGTGACTGGATACAATCAGTGCATACTCTATTCATGTGTGAAAATATCATACCAAATCCCACTAATGTATGGAACTAATGTGTGATAATAAGGATTGATAAAATGATTGCTGCTGTAGTTATTTGAGGTTGTCATTATTGACACAGGTTGTTATATAGTGAAGGAATAACAAAAGATGAGTGTACATGAGAAGAGGACCCTGTGGAAGAGCAGAGGCAGGACATTAGAAATTTTCAACAAAAAGCCCGAGGAGGAGTTAAGCATGAAGATAACAAACAGTGTGTTGAAAATCATGAAAAGAACGATGTAAAAGAAATAAATTAAAAATATGGCTTTGTCATCTTACCTTCTTCAGGTCTTCATAACTCATGAACAGAATATTGAAGTCATGTCTGTGCTCATACCAGCCTCTGATGTGATCAAACCAACGGCTTCCTACCACTGAGAGGAGAGTTAATGAGTAAGAAGGCCAAGGTGTCACACATGGTGAGCAGAAAACTCTGTTCTTTCCTCTCTGGTTTGGAATTTTCAGAAAAAACAACACATGGAACACCTATATTGCTATTTAAAATATTTAGTGCTTTGGGGAACATAACAGTCATAGAAACCTGCCTGTCTAAAGCTATGGTACACTGGGCTGGTGAGATGGTTCAGCGGTTAGGAAAACTGAAAGTTATTGCAGAAGACCCAGGTTCGAGTCCCAGCACCCACATGGCAGCTAACAACTGTCCCTGACTCCAGTTCTGGGGGATCCAGCAGCCTCTTTTGTCCACCATGGGCATTGCACGACATGGCACACTTACTGACATGCAAGCATAACGCTCATACACATAAAATAAAAATTATCAAAAAAATTTTTTTTAAGTTATGGTGCATGTAGGAAGGCAGCAATACAGAAATAAGAAGCTCAAGAATCTATGTCTGAAGATGACTTCAAGCCACGTGGCTTCATTTTCCTTTTTTTCCACTAAAAACATATCTGCATTTCTCCTTTTGTTCTCTAAGACGTCTGGGAGGCAACATTTGCTGTCTACAATAACACAGAATCTGAAGGTAATCTTACAAACGAGTGAGATCTTCATTCCACACTCTGCAAGTCTCTTGCATTAATCAAGCTCTTCGGGAGTGAAATGAACAATTCTGCAGCTGCCCTGCAAGGCCTCCCATGGGCCCATGCAGAACGCACACTTGCCCTTAACATTAGCTAAGCTGGAATGCATGATTGTGCCTATGCCACTAGCTGGAAAGAACTGATGGAATATCTGTAAGCCAACATATTCTTAACTGATATGCTTCTGCACACTTGGTCCTCAAGTGGTCCTGGCAATATAAAAAGAGTCACTGGATGGCAGGTGGAGTTGATGTATAATTGTCACTATTGATATGCAGTGCACTGTCATACTCCATCTCTTTAAATTATGCTCAGTATGGGGCTGGAGACATGGCTCAGCAGTTAAGAGCACTGGCTGTTTTTGCAGAGGTTCCAGCACCCACATGGAGGCTAGTCACCATCCATAGCTCCAGTTCCAGAGGCTCTGACTCCCTCTTCTGATCTCTGCAGGCAGTGTACAACACAGGTAAAGCCCTTACATATGCAGACAATACACTCATACATAAAAATAAAAATAATTAGGGCTGGAGAGATGGCTCAGTGGTTAAGAACACTAGTTGTTCTTGCAGAAGACCCGGGTTCAAATCCCAGCACCCACATGGCAGCTGACAACTGTCCTAACTCCAGTTCCAGGGGACTGGACAGCCCCTTCTGTCCTCCACGGGCATTACATGACATTAGTGCACTTACCTATAAAATACTTAAAATTTTTGTTCTGTAAGTTTGAATATTTGGCTAAATGACAACTGGTTTAGTACAGATGTGTCTGGGACAAAGAGCTCAGTTACCTTCTCCATCTAGAAACCTTTCCATAAAATTTCCTATGGAATCTGTTGCTTGAAGTACAACCATCAAATTTGAAAAGTGGAAATAGGAGGTCAGAACATCTTTAGGGTTTCTGTAGATGTAAAGAATCTGCAGACAGACAAGAATTATGAAATCATTTGTTTCAACAAATCTTGGCTATTCTTACAAGTTCTTGTAAACAATTTCATAATATTTCATCAGAACAGTTTTCTGAAGGTGATATTATTTGGAATATTCATAAATATTACAAATTAATTTGTCCTGAGGATCAATTTATCCACCATGAGTATTATGTGATATACGATGCATTAATAAGGCAGCACAGGCGATATGTGGGAAAAGGAAGAACTAATTGTCGTACCGATCAACTAGTAATCCATATATAATTTTCAAAGAAAATGGGCTTTTCTTTCATACTATTCAGAAAAATCATTTACAGATGGATTAAAGGTAAGTAGTACAAAGATTCACACGTAAAAAGAGTAAACAGGGGTGGCCACCCACGCCTATAATCCCAGCACCTGGGAGGCTGGGCAGGAGGATAAAGAACTCAAGACCAATCTTGTTTGTAGAGTAAGACTCCAAAAAAAGAAAGCAAGGCAAACAAACCAGACAAACAACAACAGAAGCAACAACAAACCCAGAAGAACATATTCCTCGTCTTAAAGCAGGAAAAGATTTCTTAAGAATTTAGTTAAAAGAAAACTCTTATGCCGGGTGCGGTGGCGCACCCTTTTAATCCCAGCAAGTGGGAGGCAGAGGCAGGCAGATCTCTGTGAGTTCAAGGCCAGCCTGGTCTACATAGTGAGTTCCAAGCCAGCTGGGGCTACAAGGAGACCTGTCCCAAGAAAAAAAAAAAAAAAGGAAAAGACAAATCATTTGATTTGTTGGCATTAAAATTAAGAAATCTGTTAATCAAAATGGACCATAAAATACAAAAAAGTCATAAAACAGGAGAAAAACATGTATGAGTTAAAGTAAGTTAACACAGAGACGTGATATAAGACAAACTGACAAGAAAAATGTGTAGAACACATTAAGA